TGGAAATCTGTCTAGAGACTCAATTATTTGATGTTTACAAGATAAAGTCTGTCATTCATTTGATAATGTTTCCCAAATTAAAGCAACTGATAAGCTCTCAGCCCAATATCTCAAGACTTGCACATAATTAAACTTGAAAACACATGCTTACCTTGATCGCTTTCCCCACCCACAAAATCTCACCCGATGTTAGTCAACAGGAATATGATAATAAATCTAGTAACATTTGAATCCAGTGATGTGCATGCATACACCAGCAAAAATATGGGGGAGTGTGAGGCAAGATATCCGCACGACACTTGATCATTAATAATAATAATAATAATTAAGAGAATCACAATAGCAATCCTATTATGTAGAACTCCTTGTACGATTACTAGACATACTGAAAATCCAACCATTAATGATGGGCTATCATTATGCTAGTGCTAATCAGGAAGAATGTATTTTAAATAGTATGCTCCCTATTTTATGGAAAGGAACTTCAGGAGAAAGGTGGGTGGCAGTAAAATCATTACCTTTATGATATAGCTTTACAATTAATTCCTGAACTCCTGGATCTTCAAAAATGACACTGACAGTTTGATGAACAGCTTCCTAAAATCAGCGAGAAACTTTCATGTTCAGATGATCAGGATATCATAATACATTCACACAGCCCAAATGAAAAATATGCAGAGGAAATCGGCAGCAATACAAAGAAATAACAACTATCAAAGTACTTTTCTGACGCCATCCTTCTCAGAAAACCATTAACAAAACATCTTTTATTTGAAATATTCCCAGAAATGCAACTGATGTGTATAAATAACAGTTCCATATAACGAAACACAAGACCAAGTTTTACTTATGTAACCGGCGAGAAACATGAAAATACACAAGGACTCATTTTAATGATAGACAAGGCAATGTGTAATACAAGCACATATTTCAGGCATTGGCATTCCATAAACCATGCAGAATTGAATTTAAAAAAATTCCAACTTTTTCCACAATATTTCAATAAATCTTGTCTAGTACTTTAGAAATTTAAAAAAATTCCAACTTTTTCCACAATATTTCAATAATTCTTGTTTAGTACTTTAGAAGTTTACTGATTGTACATAAAATGCCACCGAAAAAAGGTTCGTTGTATCAAGATAAAATCTTCCTCACCAAGCCACATTACAAATCAAAGCAATAATGTATAGAAAGCAAGACTAAATATTTAGATCCTAATAAAGCTCTGGAGTAAGTTAAAACATAAGTGGCCAGCATAAAATTCAATGCAATCAGCTCAAAGGATCAATTTCACTCATTTAAGAGCAGTCCGGAACTCTACATGTATGCGACTCTACATGTATGAGGCTCCCTGAATAAAATAGCCAATCCAGTAGAACTTACTATAAAATACTAGAAACATGCACATCAAAGGTGTTCGACCATGTAAATACGGGGCATGAAGGGAAATATGATGCGAGTCATACAACACTCAAAAAAATTTAGAGAGAAGGAATGAGTAAATGTGACAACCTGTGATGGCTCAATGTATGAAGTGCTGAATTGAGGAAACAAATTTCCTCCAACCCCCCACGCCCTCCAGCTCACCTCACCCAACCCAACCCAAAAAAAAAAAATAAAAAAATAAAAGATATGGAGGAAATTCTCAGTCAGGTAACTGCAGCCAACATCATGTTTATGTAACATTCTAAACGTAGCTGGAAATTTAAAAAGGAAAAGGATGTCAGGGTAATTTCAAGTTCAAAAGCCCTTGCGAATGAATCAATAATGCTACCAAGAAACTGCCAAATACATATATTCAGAAACAGAAGAGAACTACTGGCCTACCTGTATGAGTTATTAGACAAGTTATTATATAGTACACCGATAGAATGATCAGACAAGAACATGTTTCCAAAACAATTAACTAGTAAAAAACTCTTGAAAGCATTGTGTTTGAAATAACAGTGAACATCGATCAACCAAAGGAACAAAATTTAAATATAGGCAAACAAGAGAAAATATGGTTACTATATACCGAAGGCATCATGCAAATTTAAATGACAGCTAACAAACTTTTTATGGGATCCCATTGACATACCTTGGCAACCTCCAGAAAGCCTTTGCAGGTATCCTCAAAATTCACCTGTGGAAGTGATAAAAACAGTTTCAGCAGAGAGACATTGTTTTGTTTCCGAAATTGGGTACCTACATAGTCAATAAAGCACAGGTAGCAGGAATGCCACAGGGTTCAAAGAAAACTCAGATTTTTTTAATTCTCATTAAAATACACAAATACCAGAAGCCAATATGATTATAGCAATCTTTTATCCGCCTCAAAAAAAGCACAGGTAACAGGAATGCCACAGGGTTCAAAGAAAAATCAGAAGTTTTTCAATTCTCTTTAAAATACACAAATCCCAAAAGCCAATATGATTATAGTAATCTTTTATCCTCCTCAAAAGGTGATAAATGTCTGGTGGAATCTTCATTAAAATCTCCATCACAGAGATTTCAGAGAAGAGGTAAGGCGTACTGTGTCATGCAGGTTCTCCTTCGATCCCAACTCCTTTTATATCGTTCATTAATCCTCTTTCACGTTTTCTAGAGCAGAAGACATGGGATTTGATCCAGTGCATCGTGCAGCCAATTTGCTTAAATACAAGCCATTTATTGGGGATACAGTGTTGTAAAATCTGAGATACACACTTTTTGAAGTACAAGGTATCATAAATAGGATACGCCCCAAAAACTAAGTGGAATATTAAAATAAGTGTAACAATACAAGAAAAGATAAACTTTGATTTTCCACTGAACTTTCATATGAAAATTTGGGCCTCTTCAATCAATGAGGACGAGGAAATACATTTTGAAATAAAATATAACCTGCTCAGCATAATTCTGCGGAAGAGATTCAAGCGTGCTAGAGCTTAGCTCCATGGAGAGATCATAACATCGAAGATTGTTGTTAATCTGAAATCAAGTGATCTCATGAGCAACTTATAGACACTGTTCCGATAATATGCAATCAGATGCTACACAGATGCAGATTCACATACCATCGCACAAAGAGCTTCTAGACCGATTTCTGAAGCAGGTTCCTCCAGTCTCAGCCTTTCAGCTGCCTGAAAATCAATCATTACCTGGGAAAGAAAAGGAAAAATGAAAACTTCCAGGCAACCATCTACCTTGTAAACAGATCAAAACCATAATTGCAACTAAGCTTAGTTGACAAGAATCATGTATCGCCCCGACCGTGTCGAGTTCGTGTGCACATGCTTGTGTTTCTACCCCAATTACAAATATATAAGAGTTTGGAGAAATATGCAATAAATTAAGTAGTAGGAATCAAGCCATGGTAATTGTATAAGTAATTTTAAAAAGTGGTCTACTTCATTATATGTTATCATTGTGTTTGCTCATCTCACCTTTTTATTAGGATTTAAGCACACTTTCTGACTCCGAATTTATTTACTGTGATTTTTCAATCTGAACAATATTAATCAATTGTATATGAAAGTTTGCTTTTGTGTGTGCATGCGTAGGCTTTTGTGAAGAAGCTATAGAAAAGAAAGCACATAATTAGGTTCACAGCAGAATTTTTGAAGATCTTATCATCAGGCCTACAGTTATCAAAGGTATAGTGGAACTCAGTTAAACTTGAATTCCGTTACCCAAAGAGAAAAGTGAAAAGTAAGTCATTAAAAGATCAATACAGATATGGTCACGGGAAGAACAGTCATGAATATGCAAGAACACTAATCATGAATAAGCGCAAAATAGTAGCAATCACAGAGGCAAGAATTACATATACCGTGGGCAGCGATGAAAATATATCAAGATAGCTGGGTAACTTAGCAGGAAAGTTTTGGGCTGCTCTTAATAATATATTATTTGAAAACTAGACAAGCTGCACTTGCCTGAATGATGGCCAAAGCAATTCTGTATAACATGACATCAGTGCTATTATCTCGTACGATTTGAACTTGCTCTCCAAGGATACGAAATAAGTCAACAGCAGCTGGGGTATATAGTTTTCCATCATCTGTTTTTTTGGGTGGCTGTACCTTATCAGCATCAAGTATATTCAAGTACCATTTCTACATACCAAATGAGGATTCAAATTAATTAGTTAAAGCATTAAGATGATCTGATATAATGCATAAAAAGCCGACTGCCTCATGTCTTTACCCTTGTTGTGGCTTGCATTCTTTCAACATAAGCATTCATTAGGGGATCCATTGCACCACTCTCGGAACAAACTTGAGCAAGTGACTCGTCAACGCCGAGGCCAATGAGATTATCTTGGTACTCAACTACCCACCCAGTTACCTAATATCATTTATTTAGCATTTAACATGAAAACAGCTCAGTAAACAGTGAATTCAGCCAGAAAGAAAAGATCAATATAATGGAAGAAGCAGCAGCAAGATAAGAAGCAATAAAAAGAACCAAGTAGGGCCAATAAAGTACATCAATATCATCTAAATTTCTTACAGAAAAGCACAGCTATCGAGGAAAGGCATTCTACTAATATAGTAAAATTACGGAGTGTAAAAGAAGAAACAAAAGGATCAACTCAGCGTAAATCATATTAAATGGATGTTATTGGATAATAATTTCAAAGACTGCCACAATAACTTCGATAAAACTGTTTCAGTACTTATATTTCTTTCAATTCCATGTATACCCTTCCAAACTTAAAACAGTTCAATACAAGGACGTATCAAGAAAAGAGTATATTGTTTATACGTAGAATAGTTCTTTGGTCAACTCTGATGAGGCATGCAATCGTCTTCTCTTGGTATTTCCATCCCAAGACACAAAAAGAAAGATCACGCATCCAGAAACCAGATATATTATTGTAAGACCGAGGATACAAGTTTAGAAGAGGAAGTGGTAGGAAAAGCATCTCCTCTTTGTAACTTCTTGGTTATCTGGGAAAGGAAATCTAGAGCTTTCAAGGGCAAAGGAGAATTTGATCAGGGACTTGACAAAAGATTTTTGGGTTTCTCCATATTTCTGGATAAATGAATATAGTATGAATGGTTGTAATTCTCTAAAAACTTTTTCGTGGCTAATACAAAAGAGCTCGTTAGTGTAGATAGTCATTGGCTCTACTAGTAGGCTAACATAGCACATGAAGGCAATTTTTTATTTAATTTTAATCCCATTTACTGAGTTACATGAAATACATCATTCTTCAAGGTTAAGAACCTATAACAGATAGGTCACAAACTCTTTCACACTCTTAGTTTTTACTTGGTTGGGAGCCTGACCCCTCAAGTCCATTTATGAAATTGCCTCAATTATTCTTGGTATCCTTAAATTATTTTGCTATGTTAACTCTAGCCTACTTTTTCCATCTTCTCACATGTTTCCACTGAAATCACAATATTGTTAATGAGAGTCACCTCCACTTGTTTGGTGTATATTCTCATTTCTTATTTACCGATTATAGTACGACGACTCATGCATTTACGCATCCTCATTTGTTTCATATTCACTTCATGGATATTTTATCATTCATTAGTGTAAGTATAAATGTAGGGAGCCTACAGAAATGGATCTCTCCTCCCTAATATCCAAACACCACACCCTTAGCTAGCCTCCGAACACCCCATCACCACCGATCGCTATAGTCGCCGGTGACGGCAACATCATGTCGAACGGCCAATCCCCATTCACCGACCTTACACCACTTAATAAGCCACATAATCAGGCGGCGGCCCTAGGTGGAAACCCTAGCACCGCCGCCCTAGCTGGAGACACCGATGCCGAGATCGAAGTAGAGGCCGAAAAACAGGGTAGCCTGATCCAGATTCAGCAAAATTCGGCCACCTGCCTGGCAAACGCACCTGATCAGCGTGATGCACAGGTGATTCCGACGAGGGGGGCATTGAGTGACCCACGCGCCGCCGGAACGGCCGGCGTCGAAAAACCAGAAAGACGGGCAGAATGTCCCCAGTCCAGTAACGATGCCTGTTTTGCCGTCTAATATGCCGTTCACACACAATCAGGGAAGGAAGTTAGTGGATGAATTCGATGTGGCCTTCAATCACCGTTTTCGAGTTGAGGTGAAGGAGTTTGCAATTTCTGTTACCCATCTTCGTGCTGTTAGAATGATCGAATGGGGCTCGAAGCTATCGAATGCAATTAGCATGGGAAGGTTCGGTGCACTTTGGATGGTGAATATGGTGGACAAGTTGAGGGTGACTAGTAAGCTTGAGGATTTCGTTTCTAGGTTCAATGAGTCATCAATAGCCTTCTTGGCACAGCGTTGTGCGAACAGCTGTGGTAGGTACTTGATGATAGCGCAGTATGGGGATAGGCGTCGGAAGGGAGTTGTGATGGCGTCGGAAGGTGCGAATGGAGAAGGATGGGCATCAATCTCGCGGGTGTTTCAAACTGTTGTTGATTCTTTTGTTGTTGGGGATAAAGCCAAACGACGACCGGTGAATGAATGTAATCGACAAAGATTGACTTATGCACACGTAACAGCAAACTTACACGCCTCGAAGCATGCTGACCAGCGGATGCAACAGCAAAAGGAGATGACTGTCAATGTCAGTGTAAACGAAGGTCGGGATTGTTGTTTGAATAGGGCTGAAATTATGGCCCGTGTCCAGGAATTGAAAGGAGCGTTGGAGGAATTGATTAGGCTAGTGGGAAGTGGGTATGAAATGGGTCCTAAGAAGTTGTTATCTTGCCACAAGTGTCGTGTGGGTATGGATGAGTATCCAGCTGTTGGAAAACAAGCATCGAGCTTGAGTAAGAAGGAATCGGCACCTAATCAAGTAAAGCAGGGAAGACTCGAAATCACTTGTGAGTCTATTGATCGGATTGAAACGGATGAGGGACACTCTAAATATGACAAAGGTGATGTCTTAGAGGGGATGGATATGGATGAGGCAGACACGGGGACCGATGTAGACCGAGAGGTGGTACCTTTGTCTAAAGAAGGGGAGCCGAATATGGTGAACTTGGAGACAGTAACGATGGGTGCAATGGACACAGTCCCACACGATGATGAGCTTTCACTAGGTGACCAAGGGACGAGGCATGTACTGTCAGAGGATCTAGTTACCTCAGGGGTGATAGAGCACGACGCGACACCTTTGACAACAAGGGTTGCGAACACATATAATATAAGGAACTCTAAATCAATGAAGGTAAGTGACTTAGGGACGAAAAAAACACTGGTGTTGTGGGTAGATGAAGCCAAGAAGGGAGAAATAGAAAGTGATGTTATACAGGTGGAGGAAACAGGGGAATTGATTAGATTCGAAGCTGGACACCCACCTTCGAACTGGGTTCTACAGAAAATTCAGGATTTGAGTAAGTTAATGGGCATGCCTTGTGATGGATACGAAAACAGATTACTACAATTATTTGAGGATTTGAAGGCCAATAGGGGACAGGAGATGAGTAAACAAGAAGGCAAATTAAGAAAAAAGGGCGATCGTGAACTTAAGAGGCTCGAATGGTCAGTTAATTATGATGGCAAGGGTGGTGAGTCCAAGAATGGAGTACTGGGGAGGGATGCCGGACTGTTAAAATGATACCACGAATCATTAGCTGGAATGTAAGGGGACTTAATGAAGTTGGAAAAAGGATGGGTGTTCGACATCTGCTAAGGGGTTGGGGAGCGGATCTTGTATGCTTACAAGAAACCAAGATGGAGGTCATCTCGAGGGCGGTGGTCAGTAGCTTATGGGAGGGACAGCATGTAGGGTATCAGTTTATGCATCATCAGGGATTTTTGGAGGCATATTAGTAATGTGGGACACCAGAGTGCTTGAGATGGAGGAGGTGAGTGTAGGATTGTTCTCAATATCGATGTCGTTCAGAAACATTGGGGATGAATTTCAGTGGATGTTCATAGGTGTTTATGGGCCTAATACTGATGACAGTAGACGGGGCTTGTGGGATGAACTGGCTGGAATGATGGCTTGGTGGAATCTACCAACGTGTATAGGAGGTGACTTTAATGTGGTTTGATTTCCTATTGAGAGGTCGAGCGATGGGAGACTCACGGGGGCTATGGAGGAGTTTTCAGATTTTATAAGGGAGAATATGTTGGTGGATTTGCCTATGATTGGAGGAGATTTTACCTGGTCATCTAATCGGGACCAACCTGTTCTTTCTCGTATAGACAAGTTCTTGATATGCGGAGAGTGGGAGGCTAAGTATTCAGATGTCATTCAGAGAAAATTGGGAAAGGTGTACTCTGATCATTTCCCCATTATGTTATCTGGGAACAGGACGGGTGGAGGACAAAGGCCTTTTAGGTTCGAGAAAATGTGGTTGAAAGTTGAAGGTTTTAGGGAGCAAGTATAGACTTGGTGGACATCTTACGATGTCAGGGGGTCTCCTAGTTTTGTGTTGGATCATAAGTTGAAGTCTTTGAAAAGGGATTTAAAAAAAATGGAATGAGGAGGTTGTGAGCAATGTAAACTGTCGTAAAATTCAGTGCCTTTCGGAGATAGATGAGTTGGATAGGTGGCAGGAGAGTCGAAGGTTGGTTGGGGAGGAGAAGGAGAAACGTAGAGTATTAAGGGAAGAATTGGAGAGGTTGGTGAAGATGGAGGAGATTGCTTGGCGTCAAAAATTTAGGGTCAATTGGTTGAAAGAAGGAGATAAATGTACTAAGTTTTTTCACGGGATAGCTAATTCTAATAGGCGCAAAAATTCTATCACAGTGTTGGAAGTGGATGGGATAACTTATGAAGAACCACTCAAAATTGGAAGCCAACTGGTGAATTTCTATCAGAATCTATATCGGGAGCAGTTTGAGTGGAGGCCAGAGTTGGAAGGATTGGATTTTTCTACTCACGGAGGATGATGCCGATTGGTTAGAGCGACCTTTTGAGGAGGATGAAATCAAGGAGGTAGTATTCAGCATGAACGAGGATAAGGCCCCTAGACCGGATGGTTTCTCGTTCTCATTTTACAAGGCTTGTTGGAAGGTGGTGCGATCGGAAATTTTGAATGTGTTTACATATTTTTTTGAACGTGGCAAGTTCCAAAAAAGTTCTAATGCTACATTTGTTGTGCTGATCCCTAAGAAACCGGAAGCGACTGACATTAAGGACTTTTGCCCTATTAGCCTAGTCTGTGGGGTGTATAAGATTATTGCGAAAGTCCTAGCGAACAGATTAAAGGAGGTGCTCAGAAAAGTAGTGTCCAAGTTTCAGAATGCTTTCATAAAAGGTCGTCAGATTTTGGACTCTGTGCTTATAGCGAATGAATGCATTAATTCAAAATTGCGTTTGGGAATTCCCGGGATGCAATGTAAGCTCGATATTCAGAAGACATAATCATGTGAACTGGGGGTTCCTTTTGTACATGCTTAGGAGGTGCGGCTTCGGGGATAAATGGTGTAAATGGATTCAGTTCTGTATTTCTACTGTTTCGTTCTCAGTTATGGTCAACGGAATGCCGGAGGGTTATTTTCGGAGTAGTAGAGGATTGCGGCAAGGAGATCCACTATCCCCATTGCTATTTGTTGATGGAGGCCTTCAGTAGGATGTTTGAAAGAGCTGTGAGAGAGGGTTTGGTAAGGGGCTTTATTGTTGGCCAATTGCAGGTGTCTCATTTGCTATTTGTAGATGACACGTTGATCTTATGCGATGCGGATGATGAACAATTCAGGAACTTACGTCGATTGCTCCTATGTTTTGAAGCGATGTTTGGATTAAAAATTAATTTGAGGAAATCTGAGGTTATTCCAGTAAGGGAGGTCACTAACGTGGAGGAGTTGACTGGCATATTGTGATGTAGGGTTGCACAATTGCCCATGTCATATTTAGGGCTCCCGCTAGGGGTACGGTTTAAAAGTACACATATTTGGAATGATATTATGGAAAGAATGGAGAGGAGGTTAGCAGAGTGGAAGCGCATGTATCTTTCTAAGGGAGGCCGACTTACTCTTATTAAATCTACTCTCTCAAATCTCCCCACTTACTTTTTGTCATTGTTTTCTATTCCGGTTGCAGTGGCAAATAGATTAGAGAGACTTCAAAGAGAATTCTTGTGGGCAGGGTTAGGAGAGGAGAGGAAAATGCATTTAGTTAATTGGGGTACTATTTGTTTGCCTATGAGGATGGGGGGGCTTGGAGTGAGGAGCCTTATTTTGTTTAATAAGGCTTTATTGGGCAAGTGGTTGTGGCGATTTGGAGTGGAGAGAGAGAGCTTTTGGAGAGAAATCATTGGGGCAAAGTATAGTGTGATGGAGGGGAGTTGGTGTACGGTTGAGGGTCGTAACTCCTATGGGGTGAGCTTGTGGAGGTATATCCGACGAAGATGGAGTGATTTTAGTGACAAACTGAATTTTGTGGTGGGAAATGGCACTGATATTAGATTTTGGGATGATGGTTGGTGTGGCGATCAACCGTTAAAGGAGGGATTTTCTTCATTGTACCGCATTGCGTTAGAGCCTGCTGCTATGATGGGTGATGTATTAGACATTCATAATGGGGGCTATAGTTGGAATATTACTTTTAGGAGGGGTTTACAGGATTGGGAATTGGAAGATTATTCGTTGTTTTTTACCGTTCTGCATGAGATACAAATTCGGGTAGGAGAGGGTGATGGTAGCAGGTGGAGGTTGGCTCGAGATGGTATTTTTTAAGTCCGCTCATACTTTCAATCCCCTTTAGGATTTGTTGAGAGTTCATTATCTTGGAAGATGGTGTGGCAAAGCAAATTGCCTCCACGGGTAGCATTTCTATTGTGGACAGTTATGAGGGGGCAGGTGTCAACGGTGGATAATTTTCGACGAAAAGGATTTTATGTAACCGAATGGTGCTATATGTGCAAGAAGGATGGAGAGACGATTGATCATTTATTCATTCATTGTGATGGTGTACGTTAGCTTTGGAACAGTATTCTGGCTTCTCAATCAATGAATTGGGTGCTACCTAGGCGTATAGAAGACGTGGTGCGAGCATGGAGGAGAAAACTTCGCGATAAGGATAGCAAACTTCTTTGGATATCCCGGGATGCATTGTATGGTGCATATGGAGAGAACGGAACGATCAATGTTTCGAAGACCAAACAAAGACAACAGAGCTAATAAGAGAATTATTTTACTTGACTCTGTATATTTGGTTTAATGCAGTGGCTAAAAATCCTATTGTAGGGTTGCCTAATTTCATGTTGTTTCTTTCATGCTTAAAGTGATTGTATACCTCCCATGTACTCTCTTTTAAGAAATAAAATTCTCTGATTACCTATAAAAAAAAAGTATAAATGTAGGTTTCTATTTTAATTTGGTTAGGCATCTTTTGATCCCAAAGATCCCTTTTTTGCCTGACTCGCTCTAATCGTATGTGGCTATGTGTTGCACCGTCAAGTCCAGAAATGGTACTAGGATAGATTGAAAAAGAGGAGATAAAGACAACTTGTCATCACAAAGATTGCAAAAAAGAGAAATCAGAGAATTATATAAAGCATCAAAAAATTAAGCTAAAAACATTTTATATGAGCGCCAACAAGCTCAAGATGCATCATATACATTACGTGAATTCAATACTAACGTCAGATTATCATCGGAAGTTCATCCCTTGGAATTAAAAAAACAGAAGAGTAGTTTCAAAATTAATTAAACTAATGACAATTGTCTTAAAATTATTAACTATGGATAAAGTACCTTCAAAATTTCAATATTTGAAAGATCATTAGCTTTATCACTAAGTAGTCTCAGCCACTGAATAAATCTCTCAGTATAAAGATTCACCATGAGCTGGAATATTTCATACCTACAGGCATGGTAATAAAAGAAGAGATGTCATCAACGGAGGAAAATAAAATAATGACTAGTTAATCAAAGTAAAACTTAATATAATGTCTAAGAACTTACTGAGAGAACAGTAAAGAAACTGAGATTTAGTTACTAGAGACATAAGAAACAGAAAAAATTGAAAGAGTAAATGTTTCAAGGTAACATGTAACACAAGATAATAGCACCCATATTGGAGCCCAGACAAACAGATCTGGTCATATAAAGCAAAAGAACTGGGAACTAGCTTTATCTAAATCAAGGGATCTAAGACTAAAAGAACCATGTATGTGGCACTTAAGAACTCACGAGTCTGAATTAAAACAAAATGCAGTTTATTGCTCATGATAGTGGTTGATAAGACCAATCCAGAATTTTGTCATCTTTTCTGTTTTATACATGACCTTCCAGAAGTAGACCGGAAAAAACCAATATCAGAAATATTCATCACTTCAACAATCTATATGAATGATTTGGCATGCAGCAACACTCTGTCAAACAGCATATGTTGGGAGCTACATCCTACGGGAAATGTGACCACACTCAGAGTTAGTTAAGTAATAATTACATGAAATTCACGAAAAGAGAAAATGCAGAGAGACCAATTATTGGATTAGCTATTTATTTTTAGCACTGCTTGAAACTCAGTTGTAATGGAAGTCGAAATGATAAAGATCAGGAAAGGTAACTTCAAACCACCTGTGATTTACAAATTAATTTGAGCATTTAGCTAAAACCTGAAAAGTAACCAACAATCAGACCAGAATCAAATTTGACAAGGCCAACCTTGGAGGAAAACATGGTGCCACATAATCATATATGTCTCCGAGCTCCTCCCCAATCTGTCATAGAGAAAACATGACACTAGAATCAAACTACACTGAGTTTGGTCTATCAGAAGCTCACGAAAGACTAGGCCACAGTGGGGTCATAGGAATGGTAGAACTGAAATCCCATACATAAAAAGGGATATGCAAACAGTCGTTCCAATCAGAACCTGATGACGCAAAGCAGGGAAAGAACATAATTGCAAACCCTGATACTCACAAGTCGTAATTTTGATTCATGAATTATATCTATACTTAATACAGTCTAAATTGTAGTTGGTTCTGTAACCAACTACTATTTACCAATTACCATTTAGACTATATTATAATTTTGCCACAGGTTTCCCAACTGGACCATATATGTGAAGTTCCAAAAATACAGGATATAATGATCTAAATAAAGCAAAAGTAAACAAAATGTGTACTTCAGGGAATTTGGTTGCATTCCAGTACATAGGCTACTGTCTATTGAAGACATTTTAATTAGTAGTTTGAATTCTAAATTAAGACTTTCAGTTGTTACTAAGCCCCTGTTTGACACCCATTATTATGTAGATTAAAGAGTTTTGAATAGTATTTGTTGGAGAATGTGTGGTTAAAAAAAAATAAAGAAACTTTATTGGTTTGTGTGTAGAATATTTTATTTTGTGTGTGTGGTGAAGAATCATACTGTAGCAAACAATTTAAAATTTTAAAAGTTGTCAAACACACCCTAAGTACACTCTCAGTTTCATATAATTCCCATCATTTCACTATGCTTGAGAGTTCAGGAGCAATTATGTTATTTTCAAATGTCTTTAAAATTTTCTTATAACTTCAAGCATCCAAATTACTTTTCATGCCAGTGTCTTAACATACTCACCAGGTCACTACTAAATTCAAAAATTAATAAAATTACTCACTAACACACACCAATTCTCCCAAATTAACCCCCTAATTTACTCCTGAATCTGCACAACCTACAAGTTGGACAGCATGAGGCGTACAACATTAAAAATTTTCAATCTACTTCTTTTATCTAGCAACCGTTGGCTGAAAAATCCCTACCTATTTTCTTCTCTCTTTTTGAGTATGTTCTTTGTTTTTTTTTGGCTTTTCTTCTTATCGTCTCTCAGTTGTTTCTCCTTACTTCTTCTTCCGTTTTTCCTCCTTCGTCACCTTCCCATCACTATCTCCCCTTCCGTGATGAAGTAAGTAGGTTCTTCACACCTAGTTTTGGTTTAGCAGCCACCATCTAGAACTACATCAATTCCATGAACTGTGTTCTAAAATTTGATCCATTGTTTAATCTTCAATTATTTTATTTCTTTACTCAAAAAAAATAGAGGTTCTAGAAAGATTAGTATATGCATACCATTCGAGCTTCCTCCAGAGCTCCTTTAAGGTCTTCAAAAACAAGCTGAAATATATATAGTTATCAGTACAGCTGACAGAGATTTCCACTCAATTCTAATCTAATGCCATATAACATAAGCACAATAAATGATGAACCTCACTGAGCAATCTATCAAAACGTGCTTCAACAGACTTCCTTATTTGCTCATAACATTTATCCTTGTAGCCTTTTCCTTGAACCTTCAACTTCTGTTGGGCAAGTTTACTAGAAGAGGCACTCGTAGTGGTAGATTTTCTGAAGGGAAAAGCAACCAATAAGATTTACAAATGACGTAAATCTAAAAATTGCAGAAGATTGACGGTAAATGAGTCTAGGCAAGAAGCTATCAAGTCTAAAGAAAAAGCTTTAGCTTATTCAGGTAAGTACTTGGCACTTCTACGAGGATTTGCTATTGATGCCAATGCACCACCTCCTTCTGCCTCAGCCGCTTCTTCTGCAAGTTGTTGATCCAGGATTTCTTGCATCTCAACAACCCTATTTAGTTAAAATTGTTTTTTGGGGGGTTTTTTAAATTTTTTTTTTGTGGTTTTTTTTTTTTTTTTTGGGGGGGGGGGGGGGGTATACAGAGAGAGAATCAAATTAGCACCTACGAGGATTTTGCAATGTATTCCATTCAGATCAGATATACCTCAATGCACGAACGAGGGTATGTGGGCTGCAAAAGAAAATAAACATGAATGATGAACAGTAAACAGAACAGAAAAACACATGCAGGTACTTGTTAAACTAAAAGCTGCATGGAAATAAGTGAATTGAAATCCCAAGTATAGCTGTAAATAAGTTACTATTACAACAACATAAAAACTCTCTTTAGCAAGTTTAAAAAAGTTGGATATATGACCCCATAGTGTCTTCTCAAATGTCTCCCATGTGTGATCTATGTCTTCAAAGTATTCCCTGAGAAATGTTGTGCACGTAATTCATCATCAAAAGATAAAACTTCATTATTTTTTCAAACAATTTTAGAAAATCATCATAGCATCAAAATATGTATCAAACAGAACCGATATTAAATTATAAACACTACTTAAAGAATTTATATCTCATTCTATTACACTACATTGAAATGAAACAGAAAATTTCACCTTTCATTTTCAACAAATACAAGCACATCCAGTGCATGGGTAGAGAAAACCAAACAGTAAATGAGCAAGCCAATGCCAATGCAGCCTTATTTTTTTTTACAAAATTTAAGGGTATTACAAATGACTGCGACTAATCTGATGGAGGAAAGGATTCCTCTCTCTACAAGTGACAGTGACTACAATTTTATAAGTCAAATGGCATGCAATCAGAGAGAAATTTTCATCACCAATGATGATCTCACAACCAAAAGATGATTCTTTTCTTTAACAAAAATTGGGATAATGAACTCAAGGCAAAGATCCTAACCTTAGTATGCCAACCTCTTCTTTGTGAGATGCAGCAGCTGCTAATGCAAACCTTCGTTTTCCATCCAGTGCAGTTAACCTCTACAACCAATTGAAGATAACAAATGAAAGACTATTTTTTTTTTAGCAGTATAACATATGACAAAATCATTTTAGCGGATCAACAAAACAATGATAATCCATGTCAACAACAAGCTATACCTCATAGGTGTTAGTAAGTTCCTTGTCATCACTCAAAGAATCCCGCGCTTCAGAAGCCTCTACAGATATTGACATCATACCCTCCACATCCTAAACAAGAAGGGAAAGCAATAGGAAGTATTAAATGTCCTATTTCGGTGGGAAAAAGCACATATGGACAGAACAGTTTGCAACAGCGCAATTAGCAGGAAATGCCCAGTTGACATGACTATATTTAAATAGAAACATTGACCATAAGAGATAATAGATAACTGGATTCCGTATCTTGATTGTTCAACGTAAAGAAAGAAAAGGTAAGGAAGTATACTCGCCTTCAAAGTTGTGTTCAGATTATTCCTTGCATTACTAAGGAGCTTTATTTGATCATGATTTTCAATCAATGTCTGACATTCTTGACACAACCTGATTTAACACAAAGATCTTAGATAACCCAAAACATGAATAGGCCACCACACATTAGAAATATTTATTTATTGGTACTTTGAGTTGGGGTTGGGGAAAAGACAATGCAAATGTATATGAGCATCTTTCATAATATTCATACTTCTCAATTTCCACGAAATTTTCTTGTAGATGGTTTATTGTCTTCTGAGATAAAGAAAGCGATTCTAGACCCGCTTGAGCCTGTTCAACCTGAAACTCACAAATTTTAAAAGGGAGAAAGAAAGTAATCATAAAAACTGAAGACAAAATCTGAATATACACTTCTCCTATCTCCACAATCATAAGCTTATAGAAAGCTAGAATGCATCAGAAATGATAATTTGCCCTGATTGATATATAAGGCAATATAACAAGGTTTACAGGGTTAGGAGTGTAGCTTACCTGTTCAACAACCATTGTACTGAGATGTGCATCATTAGCCTGATAAAAACCAAAACTAGAAGTTTATCGCCAGACTTGAATAATCTTCTTACATAGCTATATTAACGTCACTATGCATTTATGATAATTAAATGAAAAATGCATAGCTATATTTATGTCATCACGTGTTTATGATCATTAAATGAAAAATGCATAGGAGTAAAATCCAAAATTCTAAAGATTGAAACTTCAATCCAATAAAACAATGGACAAAGAGAAGCTAATGCTACAGAACAAGCTATCTCTAACACTATGTCAAGGGACATATTTCCCTTGACCCCACTCAATTGCAGCTCCCCAGCATCAATATCCACTAATGGAACCAACTTCAAAGACAAATTCTGCACATCCTATGGAGTCTAGTCACTACTAGGCATTGTAGGTCTTTTATCTAATTTATCAATAATAAAATGAGGCTTTATGATTCTGCTTTCTTTGGTATATATCCCAGTCACTCAAGCTTTTTTTCTTTTTTCTTGTTTAGTCTAGTATAGGGGCAGTAAGTTATTGAAAAGCTGTAAGCAAGCTAGCCGGGAAGTGACATTCCTTAAGGGTATGTCATTGCTCCAGAATTGTAATAATTTTTCATATATATCTTTGAATCGCGAATAAAATGAAACTGGTTCAGGGCGTTTTTACTCCAAAACTCAGCAATGAAACAGATTAGGGCCTCCGAATCCAAGGTCCTATTCCAAGAATTCGAATACAATTAATAGAATTCCTGTAACAGAAAATAACAGTTATAAAGAAGTAGAACCTGTTGGCGAGCAATGTAATCGGCTTTGATGGAAGCAATGGACTGCAAGAGCTCCGGCAGCGGAAGCAGCTTCGCCACCTCTCTTACCGACGCCTCCTTCGCCTCCACCCCGAGATCCTCCACCATCATCTTTCTGCTCCTACTCTAGAGTTCTGAGCCTCAAATTCGTAAATTTCTATGCATAAGCTCTCAGCGAAAAGGGGAACAAAACTGTTGACAGACGCAGATGATATGAAACTCCAACAAATTTTCAATTGTTGGAATGATCAGATAATTGTGATTAATATTTAGCAGAAGGAATTCTACGACTAGATCGTGCGGAGAAGTAGGTTGGGTATTGTCACATTTGGTTCGGTTTTAACGAGAATCGAACCAGATCCCGTGGAGTTGTCGATGTCAAATTTATTTATGCAATCGTTCGAATTAGGTACTATTCATTCGGTTCGATTCCTTTAGATTTTGGATTTCATGCTATGATTAAATTTTTTAATGTTTATAAAATTATATTAATTTAATTAATGACGTGCTCAATCTTAGTTCTTATAAAAATGACGTAATCCAATCTTATGTGTCTTTTATATCTTTCTTTATTATATTCTTTATAAATTTGATTGCTAAAATTAAAAGAAGAAGAAGATCGGAAACTCATGATAATCAAGAGTTGCGTTATCGAATTTCAATTCGATTTATCCAAAATGATAGAAACAAGACTACGGTAGAATAACAAATTTTGGTAAAACTTATGATTGGATTGAAAATTATATTTTGAGTTTGAACTGAATTAACTATTAAGCAAATTTATTTAGGAAAAATAAATAATTTGACTTATTTAAAATAAATTAATTTAAAAAACGAGAGAGATTCAATTATTATTCGATTATTTGATCCTTGATTTAAAATCAAGAATTGAATCGAATCGTCGGCTCTCGATTCAGATATCCATTCAAGCATTCAACTTAAAAAGAAGGGAAAATTGCAACAGAGGCTCCAAACCTTTAAAACATTAGCAGACTTTTTCCAAACCTTTAATTTATTGCAACCGTCACCCCAAACCTTTTAGAACGTTGCGGCGGAGACCCTTTTGGACGGTTTTCATCCAAATGTATGTTAGTTAACTAAGAATTTTGATTTTGACCATATTTTTAATAATTGCTGCCACAACCACCTCCACCTCCACCTCCACCTCCACCTCCACCTCCCCTCTGTTCCACATGTTTGTCCATTCCTTCAGCTTTGCATCGGTCACCGTTGTTTGGTCTATCAAATACACATCAGATGAGAGATTTGTAGAATACAAGGCTGAAGAATTGGTCAGTTTTGTACTTGGTAAAGAGATTTGCAAAATATTCCTTTAAAAGCTCTCATATCAAAACAAAACACTTTCACAAAATTTTTCAAATAGGTTCTTCAACATCAATTTTTGACTATTTAATAGCCTTGCAAAACGGGTCCTTAGTGCTATATAAGATAACACGGCTTAAGGTTTGAAGAATAACAGAATACAAAGAGAGAGATAGTAAAGAGGGTGAGGAAGGGGAGAGAGAGAGAGAAATGGAAGAAGTCAAAAAGAGTCATCCATTGTTGAGGGGAAGAGTGAGCAGAAGCTATAACCATGGCTTCTCTTCATCTCAGATTCAATCATTAGCTGCTGTATGTGAAACTCTAATACCTCCAATGCTAAGGGAAGGTGCAGGCGGCGATGGTGGCATTAATTGATTTTGATTTTGGGTTTGGGTTTTGGTATGGGGGGTGGAGGAAGAAGACCACTAGCTTTCTTTCTTTTCTTTTTTTAAATTTCTTATTTTTCTAATTTAATTTCTCGCTTATTTTAATGTAATAAATGGAAGTTACTATTTTACCTTTTCAAAAATATTAAAAATATGGTCAAAATCAAAATTCTTAGTCAACTAACAGACATTTGGATGAAAACTGTTCAAAAGGACCTCCGCCACAACGTTCTGAAAGGTTTGGCGTGACGGTTGCAACAAATTAAATGTTTGGAAAAGTCTACTAATATTTTAAAAGTTTGGGGTCTCTGTTGCAATTTTTCCTAAAAAGAATCGCTCGGCTCAGTTCAGTTTGGTTTGGGTTGATTCGATTGGCTCGGTTTGAGAGTTTTGTTCAGCCTTGTGGAGAAAAGAAAAATAGAAATTGGGATTGATGGGTCAGGTGGCGCATATGGATTCAAGCCGGGTAAGAACCTCACACGGATTCGATTAGATTTGGTCTTTGAAGAAAAGTCTTTGAATGCCTGCAAGGCTCACCAATGAGATAATTGTGCCCTTGTTTGATACCCATTTTTTTCAAAATACACTTTTCTTTCCCTTCTTTTCAACCACATATTTTTCAATAAAATAATATTAGGCGCAAAATAAAAAATTTTCTTATTTTTTAATCGCACATTCTTCATCAGTCAACTATTTTATAATGCATTCTTACTATGAAAATGGGAAACAAACAGGCTCCGTATCTCTCAAACAGTAAAAATGTTGATTTTTCTTTTTAAAAAAATGATATTTTGTAAAAACGTGAATAATTGAAAAAAATAAATATTTTTGCCAAACATCATGATTTATGCGATAAAAGTCAACTATTTAATATTTTCGAATAATAGCCAGAGTATTCGAATATAATAAAATAGAAGAGTAATAACTAATTTAGAACAAAAAATATGTTCAGCGGCATAAATGAAATAAGACTATAAGTTCGATGGTTAACCGCAATTTTAACCATAATGAATATCTTTTATACCTCAGTATCATTGAAAATTCAAGTTAACTATTATGATTTGTATGCATATTTAACTATACAATCCCATTAAGATTGGACATTATTTAATAAGAATTGCAATAATTGGTAACTTATTTTGATTTTAAAATATTGTCATTTCTTAATTTATGTTAATTATGTTGTATTCGTTCGGGTATCAAGTACTTATGACTTGTTTAATAATTAGAATAATAATTTCAAAAAATAATTTTGAAATTTTATTCATTATATTCTTTAATTTTGTTTATTATGTATGCTTCCCAAAATATGTTATGAAATATCACAATTGACAGTGGTCGAATAGTACTATTTTTTTTTTTTTTTTATACAAACGGTTAATTTCGTTGAAGGCATGTCACTGAAATTCAATTTGGAGCAGTCAAGTCAATGAACTTCAATTAAAATATAATCTGCCATTTTCATGTGGGATTTTGTAAACTTGTCGATTGGAATTTGCTGTTTTGTTCTTTAAAATTAACAAAAGAATTTTTCTGCTTAGACAACTCCATATCCAAACAGGGGGCGTCACAATGGCTGGGTGTCTGCGCGGAGCTGTCCAAGTAGCACGTCTCGTAACAATATGCTAACATGTCCCCTAAAGTCAGCATATCAATAGCATTGGAAGTCACTGAACCTTCACTTCAATTTCAATTTGGGCATTGAACTTTCACCCTAGTTGCAATAGGGCCTGTAAATTTTATGGAGCAATTAAATCATAAATCACACCCAATGGATATGTCCAAATTCTTAGATCCTCACCATATAACAATTTTTTTTTAACCATTTATTAATGTATTTAAAATACCAACTAGTGAAAAATAATGAATTTCAAAACTCAAAAGCAATTAATTTAATATTACTAGAAAAATCAAACATAATCCTTGCAACTAGGACGTAAATATAGTGACACTATTTCTTTGATGCTCACATGTTGATGTTTCGTTAGTTTTAACAAATAAGCCAGTTAAATCTTGTGAGTAAGATAACATGATTTAAATGAATTGACTTTGTTGCTTTTAAGAAAAGCTTAATAGCTTGTTTGCTTTAAATTGAAGTCGATCAACCTGATTACAACTAGAATGAAGATTCACTAATCTTTAATGTAATTGACACTACAAACAAAGTCATTGTTATAACTACAATGCTTACGATGTCACATATGTCACGTTATCAATAGGAACTCTTATGATTCCTTGTTATCATCTCTATTCTATAATTTTTTTTTTTTTTTTAATATGAAAAGGAATGGAAGAGGAACTCGGACCATAAATATTAACTTAAATTTATTTTGTCAACTGCCACTAAAGTTAATTGTCCGCTTAAATTTGAGAAAATGAGGGACTACCACATTTTTATACCTTTTCTATTTCTTCCTGTCAGCAATCCCTATTAATTTTGAAAATATTGCATCCTTTTAAAACATAGGTCTTTTCTTTCTAAATATATCATTCATTAAATTGCATAGTTTGCCGGAAAAATTCTCGACCACTAGTAAAACTAAAAATAAAAATTTATATAAAAGTATTGACTTTTTAATTCTCATCTAGATTAAAAAATGCAAATTGTGAGAAATTTGTTCTTAATTAATTTTGAAAATATTTATATGGTCCATTATTATCGTCAAATGAAAATTTACAGATAAATAATATATGTTCTAGTGTTAATAAAGTAATTATACAAATAAACATTTGCAAAATGTGTTACAAGTAATGGTGTTATTATTTATAGTGTGAATTGTAGCAAGTCTCCATTAGCTGCAACTCTTCAATGCAAAGGATGCATAGAAAGAATCATATTTTTTAGAACGTGTGTGACGATTTAAAAGGGTGTGTGATGAAAAGTCATGACATTTTGGAAAAGCACTATCTACACCATCTAGTACTTATTTGGTAGAGAATTTGATAATTGATTTTTTGACCCTTAGAGAAAAATTGGATCCTACCTGTGAGAGAATAATTCAAAAATTACGGCTGAAATAGTGAAATAAAGGTCAAAAAATTGATTTTAATTG